CAGTCTACATGTCAAGTATCCTTGGGCAAGATACTAACCCTCTCTGATGCATCCATCGAGGTGTGAATGTAGTTAGAAAGCATTAAGTATAGAGAAAGTGATTGTGGCATGTTGGCACGCTTTGAGTACTCCGGGAGAGTAGAAAACTGCTATATAAGAATCAGTCCATTTACTCCTAACATTTTTGAGATCTTAGCTCTTTATACAGTAAAGTTACAGTAGGATACAAATAATATCAGGCTGATCCTGCCACAATTTGTTCCCTCTGTTCAAATCACGGACAAACAGTATCCCACAGTTGTTTATGTTTTTGAACCCATTTTGCACAGAGAGGCATTTTTTGAAAAATGTACACAGCAAAATCTCCAGTGTTAAATTAACACTAGAGAGTGTCTATATGGGTCCACACCTCTGAGTGTTAAATACAACACTGTTGAGTGTTAAATTAACACTTTTGACAGTGTTATATGTTTAAAAGTAACCTAGTCAGTTTTGAAGATGAACAATGGCTAACACTGAGCAGTGCTGATTTTCTAACACTGGAATATTTCTAACATTTTGAGTTATTTTCCAGTGTTAGAAAATCAGCACTGCTGTATGGAGCTGCATTGCGGTATGCAGCTCCATACAGCAATGTTACGACATAGATTACATCTTATAACTCATAACTCTTATGTTAGCTCCCTTCAGTAGCATACTGTCTGAAATATTCGACGGCTGCAATAATTCTTTAAGTGTTATTTTTTCCTTGGTATTCTAATTTCACCAAAGTTTACTAAACTCAACAAACTTAATATTACTTACCGGGACATTTATTCTGTCCTCATTTTCTTTCACTGAAAAATTGTTTCCTGCGGTGCCGTCTTTCGTGCTCCTACCTTTGCTAACATGATGCACATGGTGCAGAAGCCGATGCTGCATTCACTTACACTCGGATATCTGAGCTTCACCGTGAACACATAATCGTACATTTGATATTTGATTGAATTTTATTGTTTTGCCTTTGGGGTGGCACCTGGGGTGGCCAGTCTGGTTGGGGGGGTGGCCCCACAGGCCACCCCGCTGGACACGCCACTGCCCTCAACCCGCTGCCCCAGCATGCAACAGCATAGAGGATAGCACTGACCACACCAGAGATAGAACAACATAACATTAATTAGTCCGGATAGTGAAAACTTCTGTTTACGTTTGTTAGACACTTGGCTATGATATTAAACAGTAGACACTGATGTAGCTTCCTGAATCTTTTGGACTGTGTTCAGCACAATATGAATTAGTAATGTACAATCCTTAATATGTTTTATGTGTGGGTGGGGGGGCACCAGAGGGGGTGTTCGCCCAGGGCGCTAAACAGGCTAGGACCACCACTGTCGGCATCATAGCCTTGAAAATGTATGCCATGCCTTCTAATGCTATTACCTAAGGGGAGCATATATACGATATGATAATCAGAACTGGTCCTACATGTATATTCCTGATAAATTGATGTACACCCTTATTCAATGAAGGGTGACAGGAAGTCGTCAGCGTATTCCAGTGGTTACTGGAGAGAGGCACTTCAACATAAGGTTATCCAAATCACATAATTCTTAAATTCTGGTTTTATGGATTTCATTTGTATGCCTCCTCTTGTCCTTGATCTGTTTTTCTTTACCCTCCAAATTTTAGGGAACTGGAGAGTCCCATACTGTAATGATTCTCTATAGCTAGTCTTCAGCAAATGTAATTCTGCAGATTAAGGAAGATATGTAGTATCTGAGAAATGTGGTTTGACAGACTGCTTCCTCTACTTAAAACTTTGCATCACAAGAGCAAAGTTCCACTTGCACTCCTATTTCTTGTTTTTATGCAGTGCCTCTTAGCTGATGTTTGGGTGAACATTTTGTTTTATTGATTATTTATTTTCAAGTCTGCTTTAAGCCATCAAATGATAAGTAAGGAAAGAGCCATTGATTCCTTACTTGTCATTGGAAATGTCAAAGCCTTTTTATTAGGATTTTCATCATGACCAGTTTGATTCTGTGATCAGTGTCTCTCATGCCACACAGTTGTCCTTTTAATCTGTTAGTTAAAGATGTATTTGTGTTCCACTGGCAGCTCTGTAAACTGTGTTCAAATCGAGAAAAAGTACTGCCATAAGTAGTTTTTTTCCTACAGGAAGAGGAAGGATGTTTGATTACTTAACTGATGCTGTCAGTGATATGAACATGTTGTGAATCAGCACAATTTGTTCTTGGCCCTGACACAATTCTGGCAAAACCTATTTGAAATATTGGTGATGCATCAAAAAAATTTCCGTTCTTCAAAAAGTTACTCACTGCACTGGTTAGCTTGATAAGAGGCTAATATGTGCTACTCTTGGTTTAGTAAGCATACGATGATTCTAGTGGTCAAGACATTCAGACTGAATCTAGTATTGGCTGCAGCTGCTGTTCAGGGTCGTCTCCTCTTACAGAAATATGCCGCCAAAGTCCATCCTTGTGAACTTTATCAAAACTGAGATTCTGTGACTTGAAATTGTTTTAAGAAAGAGGACAGCCATATCTAATAAACTGGGAAAGGGGTGAGTGTAGATTTTGTTCATGTTGCCAAAAACGTGTTCTTTCATGTTAGTACTGTAGAAAAACTCCATGGGGAGCAAATTCTGATGAGCATGCTGCATCAGCTGGGGGCTTAAACGTTACAGGATCTTCCACTTAAGACTATTTGGTGTCTACTCTGACCAGTGTAAGTGCTTTACAGTAAAAGTCACATTTGCTCTTTTGGCATTTACTTATACGGTACACGCACATATAGCCAATTTAGAATAATCAGTTAACCTAACATGAACATATCTTTGTATTGTGGAGTGCCAATTGGAAACGCAAGCAAGCACAGGGACACCATGCAAATTCCACCCAGAAGTGTTCCTTCTCACACTGCACCTTCTCACCTTGTAGCAAGAGTATTAACTGATGCATAACTGTGACAACACCAAACAATGACTCAGTTTGATATTGATGTTGAAGAAATTACATGAACAATTTCATGTTGTCTGAATAATACTTCCAGACAGCGATCTTTGAGAGTGATGTATTAGACGACAACCTTGAAGTGGTTAGCATCAAGTATTGAATCTTAATAAAGCTGTGACTTTCGTGTCATGAAGCATTTTATCATTACAAAATTAATCTCTGGCTTCATTTTAAAGATTTATTGTCTACCACTTACAACTGTTGCTTCTCACTTTTGGGTTAAGTCACCTCAGTCACTGTGAGACAGTCATTCACTTTAGTGGTTTTAGTGTCAGTGAATGGAACTTCATAAATTAACGAGAGTCATAAAAATTACAAAAAA